TAATGGCAAAGGATCTTTCCAAAAACCTGCCATAATTAATCACAACCTGTAGTAAGATTCATAATTCACAATTTCTTAATCAAAAAAGAAACAAACTGAATAAATGTCCATCTCAGTTACAAAAGCCCAAAGACCAATCAACGACCCCAGCATCCACCAGTTGCTAGGTAAAAATCTGTATTCCCTGACTGGTTGTTTGTTCACTGTCATGGTCTGGTGACCTCGTGTTTATGTTTTGTTTATTTAGTGTTCTGTTATTTGGTGATTCTTCATGAATATGTCTTTTGCACTTCTAGATTCCTTAGTTATTCTTTAGTACTTTAGTGATTTTCCAGCCCTTAGGTTTTGTCACTGTGCCTCCCTCCCTTTCCTTGTGTTACGTCTAGTGCTCCTGGTTTTGATGTTCGTGTATTTCCTGATTTAGTTTGACAGTCTCGTGTCCTGTGTCAGTGTATTCTGTTTTGCTTCCTCCCTGTCTCGTCTCATCTAGTTAGATTCAGCTGTGTCTCCCTCCTGTTACCATTGCCCTCTGCGTTTATACAGGGAGTGCAGAATTATTAGGCAAAAACAAAACAAAAACAAATCAGCAACCAATATAGCCACCTTTCTTTGCAAGGACACTCAAAAGCCTGCCATCCATGGATTCTGTCAGTGTTTTGATCTGTTCACCATCAACATTGCGTGCAGCAGCAATCACAGCCTCCCAGACACTGTTCAGAGAGGTGTACTGTTTTCCCTCCTTGTAAATCTCACATTTGATGATGGACCACAGGTTCTCAATGGGGTTCAGATCAGGTGAACAAGGAGGCCATGTCATTAGTTTTTCTTCTTTTATACCCCTTCTTGCCAGCCACGCTGTGGAGTACTTGGACGCGTGTGATGGAGCATTGTCCTGCATGACAATCATGTTTTTCCTGTAGGATGCAGACTTCTTCCTGTACCACTGCTTGAAGAAGGTGTCTTCCAGAAACTGGCAGTAGGACCGGGAGTTGAGCTTGACTCCATCCTCAATCCGAAAAGGCCCCACAAGCTCATCTTTGATGATACCAGCCCAAACCAGTACTCCACCTCCACCTTGCTGGCGTCTGAGTCGGACTGGAGCTCTCTGCCCTTTACCAATCCAGCCACGGGCCCATCCATCTGGCCCATCAAGACTCACTCTCATTTCATCAGTCCATAAAACCTTAGAAAAACCAGTCTTGAGATATTTCTTGGCCCAGTCTTGACTTTTCAGCTTGTGTGTCTTGTTCAGTGGTGGTCGTCTTTCAGCCTTTCTTACCTTGGCCATGTCTCTGAGTATTGCACACCTTGTGCTTTTGGGCACTCCAGTGATGTTGCAGCTCTGAAATATGGCCAAACTGGTGGCAAGTGGCATCTTGGCAGCTGCACGCTTGACTTTTCTCAGTTCATGGGCAATTATTTTGCGCCTTGGTTTTTCCACACGCTTCTTGCGACCCTGTTGACTATTTTGAATGAAACGCTTGATTGTTCGATGATCACGCTTCAGAAGCTTTGCAATTTTGAGACTGCTGCATCCCTCTGCAAGATATCTCACTATTTTTGACTTTTCTGAGCCTGTCAAGTCCTTCTTTTGACCCATTTTGCCAAAGGAAAGGACGTTGCCTAATAATTATGCACACCTGATATAGGGTGTTGATGTCATTAGACCACACCCCTTCTCATTACAGAGATGCACATCACCTAATATGCTTAATTGGTAGTAGGCTTTCGAGCCTATACAGCTTGGAGTAAGACAACATGCATGAAGAGGATGATGTGGACAAAATACTCATTTGCCTAATAATTCTGCACTCCCTGTAGTGCGTTTTTCCTGTGTTCCTTGTCATCTGCATGTCTTCCTCCGTGTTGCCTCTGCGTTTCCAGGTTTTTTTCTATCTATTTCTATGTCTCAGGTTTCTTGTTTAGTTTTTCTCATTTAGGTTTTTTTTTTGTTTGTTTGTTTATCTTAGTTCCCCGTCGCCTTTTGTTTTGTAGTGTTTTGTGCAGCCAACAATAAAGGCTCACTTTCTGTTAGACATCCACCTTCATCTCTCTGTTTTCTGCATTTGGGTCCAATTCATTCTCTCCACACTATCTGCCCTACACGAAATCGTGAGAGTTCACTTGCACATTGCTGCAGTTTGCCTCTAACACTCTGACTCGTCTGCAACACTTGGAAACAACCAAAAGCAGGTGACCACTGCAATCTGCTAGTGACCAAAGCAATCACTGTATATCGCTTTGCTACTAATTTCCCCTTGTGACTGTCAGCACCCACTGGCCAACCATTGAGGGAATCCACATTTTTACCTAGCAACTGGTGGTAGGAGGGTGACTGACCTGTCTCTAAACCTGTGTTACTGAAGTCAAATGGCCTTTTAAAAAACAGCCTGAAATTGAAAAACTTTTCACTATCTACTGTAGAAATTTCAAACCTTTCTCTCATATTATTGTTTCTATTACTTAGTTACTTTGGTGTAGTATTAATGGCCATCGGAGGAGTTTTTATTAGTAGGAATAGCTGCATGTACACAGTTAAAAGTCCAAAATTTATAAGCCATCCAGTGGATGAAGGGAAACTTTGACCTTGAATGCCACCATATAAGATCCTCAAATGGAAATCTGCCTAATTATCACATGGATAATAGAAAAAAAAAGACCGACTTGGCTGAAGTGTTCATAAATATTCTTTCATCATTTAAAATGACAAAAAGACTTTAATGCCTGAGCAATGAGTATCCATCGTCAGTATTCACTCCAGTATCTCCACTTTGTGTAAATGTGTTTTCACAAAAAATCTGCCACTTTGTTAGGAGTTGATTCTTTTCCTTTTCTCTGGTTTGCTTTTCATTTTTTTCAAGGTACTTCTTCGAAGATATTTACACTTTTGTGACCCATCAAACTCCTCTTTAAATCCTCACATTCCCCTGCTGTTGGGTGCTTAATAGATGTGTGACCCATCTGGCATCAGTTGGAGAGTAAATGAAGAACACAATGATTGTGATTCAACTTCATGCAAAGTCAGCCTCAGTGTACATCGACCTCAATATGCAGGATTAACTTTGGTGTGTGGTCTAATTATCACACAGGAAGAGGTGATGAAATTCAGTGTTTTGGTTGATGACTAAGATGCTGAACTAATCTTCAGACTGAAAAATAAAGAGTCAGTAGAAAGTATTTGCTTAAAAAGTTTTGGTCGGCCTCGAAGGTTAATCGTATTACATCCCCTGAAAAGGTACAAAGTGTTATCCATTATCCACACACACCCTTAAGCATTAATATAGATCTTACTTATATATGGTACTGTCTTTAGTTATCTGCCAGGTGTGTCTTGGTCCTTTCAAATTCAAACAAGTACATCCAAAAAGATTACATAATATATATCTCACAAATATGTAAAAAAAAAAAAAATGTAATTGAATGTTAGCAAAAGTATTTGTGATTTATTTATTTCCATAAAGCTAACCTTTTCGTAAGTTTCTAATTGACACTGATGTTATCAATATCATTATGTCAGTAGCTAAAATTTTAGTGGCAATGTTTACGTGAAACCTTAAATTGTTTCTACTCTTATATGTTGAATACACACATTTCAGTGTAGATTTTAACCTCTTAACATCCCTACATACATAACCTGCTTTGGAATAGGTTATGGTCGCAGAATAAGTTACCACCCTGGAAAGAAGTGAACCAGAAAACCCAGGGTTCCCTAAAGTTACCTGGACAAAAGAAAGTCCTGCTTCGTAGTACTGAGGTGGATGTTCAGAGGTTTATTTGCTGTCAGACAGGCTTGTAACCTGTTATAAATTCATTTTTAAAGAGCATAAGTTCATTTGGCAAAAGGAAGAATTCTATAATAGCATAAACTACCAAATAAGTCACTTCCTTTTCTGTCAGTTTGTTACCATAACAACTAAGCAAAAGAGTCAAGAAACCTTTCAATTTGGGGGTTTACAATTAAGCAAAGGCAGAGCTCCAAGATGGATGTGGTCCTGGTGTGATTTAGTTGAATATGTCCTCCAGTTCTGAAATATAGAATTTCATTTTTATAACACAATTTATAGGTTAATGCCCAACTATCTCTCCTCTGTAGTACACCATGTAAAATTTATGGTCTGATAGGCTATGGGCCAACATAACTTAATCATGTAAGTTAATCATAACTTAATCATGTAAGTTATGAACATACATACATATATATATATATATATATATATATATATATATATATATATATATATATGTATATACATATATATATAATTTTTATTTCACATAGAGAATTAGTGATATTTCCAGGCTAAAAATTGATTACCTCAAATACTGGATCAAGCCCTGAAACCAGTAAGTACTTTAATGGTTCACTCATCATGAAGTCAGCAGGTTTTTGGTTGTGAGCTTTAAACATAAAATGTGTAGCAATATACCCAAAGTTTTAGTTATATGTTTGATATTTGCAAACAAATGTTTGCTATTCAGCATCATCGGACTGAGTGCAGGAGCTTGGTGGTCGTGCCATTAAAGCTATGAGACTGTGGTGTAGTTTGTGTAAAGCCTGTTGAACATGGAGTCAAAACTTAAATCACACATCTTGTCTGCTGTTTGTCAAACGAACCCCTGTCATGCTAACAAAAAATGTTGTCCCAGCACCGCCGATGAAATATAATGATGCTTCCTGTATCATTAATGGTTTAGTGTTGTTAAGATTTTTTTATGCATGTTGAAAGTTTGCTGTAGTCCTGAATAAACGTGTAGCTCCTCATGTTGATTGCAGTGTAATGTTTGTGGTGTGACAGAATGCATACTTTAAATGTCTTGGCTCACCGTGTGTAAACTGCGTTTGCAATAAGCATGTATCATATGGTTCACATATGATAAAGCGTCTGAGTCACCGTGTTTAATCTGAGCCACATGCAAATTGATGAATGAAGCGATCTGCTCATCAGAGTCAAGCAGTACCAGTGGGGGGATAATCAGTATTGCTTCATTTTGGTTGAAAGAATATTTGTTGTTTCCTCTGCACGCCAGCTGCTGGTTGTCCTGCAACGTTTCATTGGCAAAACAACAAAAGAGAACATTTGCAGGTGCTTGTGCTCTTGTTAGTGGTGTTGATTACAAGGTTTGAACAATGGACAATTACTGAAAAATGTGACCAGACAGAGTCGAGGCACATGTGATGTGCATGTGTGACACCAAAAGCGGGACAGGAGCACATTGTATTTTAATTCGGTCATATATCACGATGAACAATAGTGGAAACAAAACAATGCGTGTGTGGTTTCACGGGTGTGTTTTTCCAAGGGTGTTTGGTTTTTCAAAACAATGACTGGAAGGTAAGCTAACCACAAACACATAAAACATTGCATCTCCTGGCTTGCAGAAAGTGAGAAAAGAAAGCAAAGACATCCAGGCTTCTGTCCTCATGGAGGTTTTTGGTATCCGTCGATAGGGCTCCCTGCCTGAGGGCAGAAAAATAAAATGTAAGTGAAGATGACCAAAGACAATAAACATAAGAGTGCACAAGAAGGGAATTGAGAGTGAGAAAAAACCTCAAAGAAAGTAAGTACAGGTCAAAGGATGGCTGGAAATGAATGCTACAAGTGAGATTGAGGGATATTTCTATTTTAACCAGCTGTATTTTCCTGTTAATGTGACTGTCGTAACTCTGTGTATTCTCCACACCGATTGTAAAAAGCAAATCTACTTGCAAGCAGCATATATTATAGCAAAAAGTGCAAGCTCTCTGCAGCTTTCCAAAACACGCAATTGTACATATAACAGGTTAGTCTGCTTTGTAATTTAATTCAAAACTCAAAATGGCACTCAGCACTTGTTCCTATGGTGTCCTAGGGGATCTCCTCCCAGATCTAGACAGGGCATCACTGAGCTCCTGAAAGTCTGAGGTGCAATCTGGTGCGTCAGATGGACAAGCATAATGTCCCAGAGGCATTCTATTAGATTTAGGTCAGATGTGCGTGGGGGTCAGTGTTATCAATTCCTTCATCTTCCAGGATCTGCTTGTAAAGTTTTGCCTCATGAGGTCGGGCTTTGTCATACATCGGGAGGAAGCCCAGGGCCCACTGCACCAGTGTATGGTCTGATAGTGGGGCCAAGGATTTCACCCCGATATTTAATGGCAGTCAGGATGCCACTTGCTGAGTCTGTAGAGGTCAGTGCATCCCTCCGTGGTCCCTCCCTGAACGATGATACAGGCAGCATAACGTTCTCCACAGCTTCTCCAGGTCCTTTCAAATCTGTCACATGTCTTCAAGGTGAAGCTGCCCTCATTTGTGAAAAGCACAGGGCACTAGTGGTGGACCTGCCAATTATGGTATTCTGTGGCAAATGCCAATCAGACTACATGGTATCAGGTATATTCTGTGATCTTGAGACTGTGCTGGGAGACACAGCAAACCTTGCAATGGCATGTATTGACGTATTGATACTGAGCAATCGGAAAAAATGGTCGGTGGCCTCCACCTGTAAAACCATTCCTGTTTTGGGGTTGTCTCATTGTTCCACATCTAGTGGACCTGTTGTAAATTTAATTAACACAAAAGAACCAGAATTTATTTAACAATCCTCTCTGTTATTCAACTGAACAGATCAATATCCCAGAATTTTAACTGAGTTGATGCCATACTCTGATTTAAAAGGGTTTCTTTTTTTAAAGGCAGAGTATCTTCTCCTATATTTCCAAAACTACCCAGAGAACCAGAGTTAGACTTATTGGTCTCTCAATAAGTTACTTAATCTAAACACTAGAAGAAGATTCACACTGATATTTAGCCAAGAATTTGAGACTTTTTTATTCACCTGTACTTCAGCAGCACCACTCTGTCTGAAATAGCACATCTCTCTATCTCTGCAGATGTCAGCCCAATGAACAGTAAGCGTCCTCCTTTTCTCTTTCTGTCATCTAACAATACTTATGTCTACACAATGTGAATCTCCCATTTGTATAAATCATGTCAGAGCTGGTAATGTGTTTTTTCATGGCTGTTTCCTCTATGACTCCGGTGCTCCCTGCTCCTCCAGCTAAATTTCTTCCCTCTCTCAGCTCAGCAAGGACTGCAAAAAAACCCCACTCTGCATCATCTGCACTCAATCAGAATAATTATCCCAAGAAATGCACTGCAGAGTCTGTGAGAGGTGAGGGGAATGAAGCACAGAGGCTATTGGCAATCACCTCCCTCCAGTCATTATTAGTCATCTCTTTGCTGCTTTGGAAAAGGACTCGAATGGCTTGGGAGGAAGCCATGTGCAGCCGACAGACAGACAGACAGTGAAAAGGTCTGATGTGAATCCGGAGCCCAAAAAATATCAGCCACCTCTGAAGTCTCTGGCAGCCTGGCAGCTCATCTGGGGGACTGGCAGCCATCCGCACACGATTATTAGCCTTATGTTCTGTCTGTCAGGCTTCCTCTTAATCCCCATTTTTTAAAACACTGAACTTGTCATTCTGAAGATGTGAGGGCTTTGAAAAATCCCCAAAGTGGCCAGGCAGACACCTTCCACTATAAAAATCCTGCAGGAGGATGAAGTGTTTGAGGTCCTGTCAGGATTTGTGAGCTCTTCCTGAAGGACTTCTTTGTGAGACATCGTGGGGTTCCTATTTGATTGCAAAATGGCTTTGAAACCTCAAGTTCCTCAAAGCCCTCTAACTTTTTAAAGCATGCTGCAGACAGAAAAACAAAACACTGATTAGACTCTGGCACCCATGAAGTATCAGTTATATGAATGCTCTGGCTGTTCTGCAAGTCCACAGGGGACTGGCAGCCATCCTCGCATGACTATCGCTGTTTTGAATGTCTGTTTTGCTCTTGAGTTGTGCATTCTTCTTTTATCCAAAGATTTTAAAACATTACACTGGTCACTCTTACAGAATCCTTTCAAACAATCCCAAGGCTGCTACTATCTGCACACTGCTCTTCAAATGAATACACTCAGGAGAAATATGGTTAGTTTAGCTTAGCATAAAGACTGGAAAAACTAAACTGGAAAAACATAACGTTCTGGTTTTATGGGCATTAAGCAGAGGACTTTTCTTGGCTTGGAGCAGTGACTCACTGGTGAATCTGCTGAGTGATGGAAAACATCCCAGTAATGACATATTTGTTGTTTTCACACTGTTTATTTTATAGATTAAACAACCAATATAAAACACAATACTAAGTAAGCTGAAAAGCCAGTGGTAGATTATGCTACCTGCGCACAAAACTAGACTGTTTCCTTGTATTTCGGTTCTGAATGCTAAGCTAAGCTAACTAGTTGCTCGCTCCAGCTTCATATTCAATAGAAAGAGGCTTCAATGCTTTCAACTAACCCTTGAAAATAAACCCATTAAGCTTATCTCTCAAAATGTTAAACTTTAACAAACACAACACGTCAGACATATGAATCCTCCTGAACAAGTTTCCTCTTTCAATTCAGCTTTTCAGCGATTTGCATCAAAGACATTTCAGAAAATTCAGCAAATGTGATGCCCCTATCAATGCCATCACAGCAACAACAACAGAAAACTGTGTGTACTCAGTTCTGAGTGTAGCATACTATGGATGTGTATAAATAAAATAATAAAAGCCCCAGTTATACAAAGAATTAAAAACTACTAACACAATCTAAACTGGTACTTTGATTAAATCCAATATGCAATGAACATGTCATAAACTAAGCTGCAACTTTCAGTGCATAAAAATTAGGTAGTGGGAAAGAAGAACTCCCTTCCAACAACTGGTTTGGTGATTGCATTGCATTTTTTCACATTTTGTGACCAGTTTTCAAGCAGATGTGGCAAATAACTGATCGCCCAGAGGTTGAAATGCATCATCTTCAGACTCTAGGTGACTATTGTCGATAGCAAGGCGACTGCATGGGTTGCCTGGTGGGAGGCAATTGCAGTCTGTCTCAAACTGACTACAATCACTCTGAGACAGACTGGTGAAGGTTTGAGTGAGTTTGTGTCAATGAATGCAACTTGTCTGCAATATTCAACCAAACTGGTTACCAACTGGTTGCATTGTGGTTATATTCCTGTATAAATACAAGGGTACCAAGCACCTGTGCCGTGTTGCAGTTAAATTGCCGCTCTGCATCAACTATGTCACTATTTGTGGAGGAATTTCTGTTTCAAAATCTATGAGGTCTTACTGGACTCCGGTGTGTTAAGACAGTGATAAAACACCAGTGAGACAGTCTGCTGCCAACTATTTACATTCAAAGTCGGTTTGACGATAACAACTGATTGCAAGTGGTTGCACACCTGGTTCCCATCTTAAGAGCAAGTTACAAGGAGATAGCTTAGATGGTTCAACAACATCATTTAAACAAAAACAACATGGCAGTGACCAAAAACACTAAAGCTGATGGTTCAAAATGGAAAAATCCAGAAGTCAGTGGGTGAGGTCACTGTGCCTACACCATCTTTTAGATACCGCCTATAATCATAACTAATTTATTTCTATCTGTTTTCATCTGTTACATTGGTTATGCTACCCCAACTTTTTCAGATGTGTTTCACTATTGGATTCTCCAAAGACCTAAAAAGTCAACGACTGTCATCAGTTATTATTGGAAGCAGTCCTGCAGGGTGACTTTCTAAAACTTTGAATGGTTCCACTTTATGTGCTGAGTGGATATTTGTAAATCCAGTTTTTACCCAGATTGTTATTTTTTCAATGTTCTGTTTTTTGGCTTATTTAGTCCTCCTATATGCATGCAGTCTGCTGTACAGACTCGTGTGTCCATGTTTAAAAACACTGATGATACTTCAGTGCACATGAATGTTCAGAGTCTTTTGGAAAACTCTCTGGCACTGCAATGAGCCCACAGCGGACTGGCAGCTGTGACCAGATGAATATGGTTTGGATTTCTAATATTTCAACACGAGTCTGCTCTTGTTTTTGATCCAAATATTTCGAAACACTGAAAAGATGGCTGTAGAGATAGAGGTGACATTGGAGGGGGGAAAAGGGGGGAACTACAGACTGGTTCGTGAATTCTAAGGCCAAAGGAAACAGCCGATGTTTCAGGTGTCCCAAAGAAAGCACAGCACGAGCCGATTGTTCAAACAGCCTACTTTTACGTTTAGCAGCCAACAAGAACTCCATCTATATGATTAAATTGGACCTTTTTCTGTAGTTCCATACAGAAGTGTTAAAGCAGAGATTGTTGACCTAGGAGGCAGTACATCTGACTGCCCCCACAAGGGTCCCAATACAAGGATTCAATGAAGGATGGTGCTTTGGGTTGAAATACGCTGAGTTACAGTGTATTATTAGATTAGAAAGGTCAGTAAAAGTGACAATACAAGCACACATTTACATGCACATATTATGCCAACTGTCACAGTTTCTTCATGAAGAGGACACTAGAACTGTATGTATGTAAACTTGGTTATTTGGGGAACGCGCAGCAGTTACTCACTGAATACTTGAAGACTACTCAACCATAAAAAGTAAAAAAGAAAAAAACAATTATTAGACTGTGAGTCTCCTGGATATTTGACAATTCCTTCAGGGACTGGCAGTCACATCCAGATGAATGTTAGCTCTCTTTTTTCATGTCTTCTATTTCAGTCCTGAGATCACCACCAGATTTCTTAAAATAAAGGTTCATCTGAGGGCTGCAGTGACACGCGAAGAGAGCCAGCAAGCATTCGAAACTTCGAGCTGCCACGAAACTTCAGTTTCTCATAACATTATTACAGAAAATAATCACCGCCATGCTCCACACATGAGAAGTAACAGAGCCACACAGGTACCTTAAAGTGTGCCCTTTAGACGATCCACAGCAGAGATGTTAGACACGTTTATCCAAAGCACACTTGTAATTTCTGGAAGAACTGACAGCACGGCAGCTCCTCTGGGGACTGGCAACCATACTCGAATGAATATTGGCACTGTAATGAAGGTCTAATGTTTCACGTCCAAGGTTTCCACGTGTCATCAGAGATTTCACGAGACCGAACAGGCGTGGAGACATTTTGAGTAACCTTTAAGCTGCCGTGAGAAGATTTCTTCTGCAGCAAATTTCGATAAGAAAACCATTCAGGAAGAAAAAATTAAAGTGATACCTGGTCGAGGAGCTCTTCGCACAGCATGTTTGACTTCTCCACCTGAGACTCCAGGTTGGTCACTGTGTCTGCCTCCCATGATATTATACTGCTTTAAGAGACAGGAAGTTTAAATGTGTTATAAGGTGAGTAAAAGTTGAAAAAGACACTCAGATAATAATGAACTAGTTCCTCATTAAATCTGTTCATCTATCACTACCTGTCACAGCCCTCGGCGTCCTGAAGGGGGCAGACAAGTCTCCGTGTTGGACTGCCGTCGTGTGAACGCTTTAGTTTCTCAGCTTTCTTTTCCAACCTGCTGACCTGTCGCAGCAGAGCTTCTCTCTCCTCCATGAGGCAGTCTTTGAACCTGTAGAATATGATAACTCAGCAACTCTTCGAGCACAGCGTACATAATCTCACGAGTTTCTAAATATTTGCTAATTAATCTATAAAGGAAGCAGCAGCAGCATGTAGCCTGGCTGGAGGAGGGGGTTATAAATTGTAGGGTTGATTTCCAGACCTTCCTATCCACATGTAAAAATGTCCTAAAGCAAGATGTTGAACCCCCGTGTGCTTTCTAAATTTTAGCTGCTTTGGATACGAGTTTGCCAATGTGTCTAATGCAATGTGCATAAGCAGGGCCCAGAATATGAATTATGTGCACTACCTGTACTGATTGCATTAGAAATTTCTGGAGCGGGGCTTGTAATATATCAATGTATCAATTTGAAGTGAAAAGATAGGGGGGAAAAATGCACATTTACGCTCTCAGTCAAAATTCCTCTGATGTAAACACCAGACCAACAGAACAATACAATTTAGTTTCTTACCCTGTCCTTGACAGACTGTCATACGATCCAACTTATCCTAAACATGAAATCTGTATTAATCTTTTGGAAAGTTTAATGTGAGGAATTCTGGGGCCTAAGGCTGGGACACTAACAGGAAACATTTGGGTCACAGAGGGGAGATGTTTGAAAGCACTTAACTTTCTTCAAGAATCATCAATTTCTATTTTTTTGTATAAAGTTGATCTAGTGACTCACGAAAACAGATTTTAAGGGATTCCTTAAGGCTGCAATGTTTCTTGTTTCAGTTATAAAGGCGAAACATGGGAGATGCTTTAAAAATATCATCCAGTGTGTTAGAAGGGCCTCGGGGATTCTAGCAGAGCTTTCTGACTGATGAACAAACATTGCTGGTTAGTTTTAAAGAAACTTATGGTTACTTCTGTGACCTAAATGCATGATGATGAGTGGTATCCTACCCACATACACTATAGTACTTAGTTAATTTCTAGCAAACTCAGCTGTCAGACCTCTATCTCAACTTATTGGTCTTTCTTTAATTACAAGAGACATATAAAAGTATTAAAAAGAGGTTTTTGTGACATTTTTGGAAGCTACAACACTCTTTCCAGATCTCTTGTCCGTAACATTTTAGCACCTTTAAGCATGTTGTTTCAGTTTTACGACCTGTAGCAGCTTATGTGCTGTGGTGCACCCTCACTGCTGTTTCCAGCTGGTGCAGACAGCTGTTTTCAGCTGTGACAAACCAACCTGCATGGCAGCACAAAGATGCAGTCAGAGGCTTGTTGGGAATTGAATTTTGAAGTTTTTTTCCCCAGAGAAGATGGTGAAGACGGAGTTAAAGTAAATAAGATGGGTAGAAAGCAGACTACAAAGTCAATTAGGTCCCTCTGTGTCTGCTTATTGTGAGTATGTGTAGCTCATACTAACACAGTGCTACCAGTAACATCATAACAAGGCCAAATCATACCATGGGAATTTTAGGTAGCTTTGTAGTTCTGCCACAAAGAAACAGACAGATCAAAGATGTTAATGCTTAAAAAATAGTTTAAAAACTTTTTAAATTCATCCAAATCTCTCAAAAACAGCTATGATGTTACATCTATTGATGTCTTTGTATTGTGTTGCAGTGATATCAAGAAATCAGGATGGACTGTGCTCTCTTGTAATACCACTTTGATCCACATGATGGTGCACTGAGTGTCTAATCCAGGGGTGTCAAACTCAAATACACAGTGGGCCAAAATTCAAAACTGGAACAAATTCGCGGGCTAACATTAATATTTATTGAAATATATTTATTCCTCCAGATATAAGAATGAATCTTTTCTTATGGACTCAAACACGTTTTGCTGAAAAACTGAATATGGAACAAGCAAAGCTTAATACTAAACAATATATATATTAGCTGTATAATACCAGTAGGCCGCTCTAATAGTAATTTGGTATGGCTTCGCGGGCCAAATGTCATTAGGCTGCGGGCCAAATGTGGCCCGCGGGCCAGAGTTTGACACCTATGGTCTAATCTGATTTAAGTCCAAAAACACCCATTACAGCAGTATTCACGCAACATTTTAAAGAATTCTTGTTACTATCACACTTTTGTTGTGTTTTAGGTGGACAACTACACTAGAACCTTCTGGTAAAACACTGCCATCTTGTGGTGAAATGTTTAATGACATTTGCAGAAGGTAATTGCAAAAAGTACCTTTAATCACTGTTTAGAATAAATCAAGTATTTCTATACAAATAAAAAATAATTGTGTTTGAGTAAATGACAGTCAGTTAAACAACTGGAATAGTTTGCTTGTTTATTTTAATCACATTTGACATGCATTAACTCTGGTAGATGCTTTGTATATTATAAGAAATCAGAACTTTACTCACTTCCAGCTAGATAAAAACGCAAGTAGATAAGTCTCCTTTCCAATAATCATTTACAAATGTATTTTCTATGCAGAACCACATTATTTATATTAAGAAGGGGTTTTCAGGGTTTCGTTTACATCAACTTTGAGCATGTGTGCAGACAATAAAGACTTTAAAATCTGATCCTGTTATGTTTTTTGGTACACACAGCTGAGATATATTTAAAAACAAAGCAAAACAAAAAAAGAACCCTACTCACCTCTTCACACAAGACATCCAGTAACGCTGTTGCTGACAAAGCCACTCGAACTGCTCTGCCGTCTCCTGAAGTTTCCTCAGGCTTCCCTCATTTTCCTGCTGCAGTTCCCTCACCTCAAAAAAAAAAAATACAAATAAATAAATATATTTCTCCCAAAACCAGGATGTGACCAAGACAACAAAATTAGAAAATTATGATGTGGGCGTGTAAATATAAATCAGGAAAAGACGACATGTCATGTGGAAAGATGAGCGGGTCCAGTGGAGTCAGACTTAATCTTCTGCTCCCAGACCTTTCACAATAATTTACAGGCCTTATCCCCTGCAAATAATTGTTCTCATGAAGTTTCTCACTGACTCTGCAGTCTGTTGTTCTCTTCTCTTGGCCTTGTGGAGATGTCTCAAAGGAAAGATAATTGTAGACCTGGATTGTTTGCTGTTTGATGGACTGGATGAAGCAGACGCCAATGCGGGAGTGAGTCTTTGAAGCCGAGTGTAAATAAATGAGGAATGTTCCGCTAATGCCTGGACCCAACACACCGACACACACCAATGCAGACCTAATGCCAGCAACATCTGAATTAGTGCTCTCACTTGGGTGGTTGTAGTTTTTAAAATTTGGACACAGTACATAAATTTGAACCGTGAGGTTTTCGGAATCCAGCGGCAGATCATTATTCACAGCTGGCACTCTGCCACACTGACCTGAACTAACCTGAGACCGCACAAACAGTGTTAATCCATTACTTCTGATTGGAGGAGCCGGCTACAGAGAAATAATCCCCGTTCACGGCAAATTCATTAAAGCTCTGTCACTCATCAACAGTTTTATTTGTGTTTCAACCCCAAAAAAAGGCCAAAGCAGTGTTTAAATAAGTGTCTGATCCTGACATCTGCTGGACAAAATCAGCACTGCAATCACTAAACTGATGATTTTATTGAACCTCCTCATTAGCCAAAGTCTTGCATTTTACACTTTTTTTCTTTTCCAGCAGCATTTGCCTTGATGAAGGGATGTCTCCCCCGGTGCTTCTGCTGAGATTTCTCCCATCATGTACAGCTAATAGGTTGTTTTAGAGGGTGGTTCTTTTCAGGGTCCAAGAATAGAGGATTTTGATGTTATATGTGATAGTCCTGAGCCCTCCTTGTTTTGCCTGCATGCTGCACCTTTCAGGTACAAATGCTTGACTGCTCTTACCTCAATAAGGAAATTACTTTACTTGCTCGATGTGCAGTTTATAGTCAATTTTGCTTATGAATTTTCCTAATTGAATGAAGTGACCCATGAGTATCTGCGTAGCAGCCATAATAAGAGCTGGTCAGAGTATATACATACTAAGGAATGTTGCTCTGATGCTTCCTTTATTACCTGCTTTACCACAAGACACACTGGCTCATCCTTTATGAAAGGAAATGCAGTAAGGCTATCTCATAAGTCGAAGTGACACACTATCTGAAGATCATTAAAAACAAACAATCAACATAACTGACAAAACCCATGAGCCTCTCAACGTTCTTTTTTTTATTGTCTTGCAGTTTCTTGTTTAAGCCAGAAATGTTTGACTTTGTTAAATAAATGTTAACGTAATTAAAATTCTTGCCGCGTGGGTCCAGCATCTTTATAACATCAGAGTGAGCTTATTCACGATTTGAACCTGTGGCTTTGCGCATACCAAGCAAGATCACACTCAACAATGTCCAAACACATGGACAGTTTCACACAGGAAACTTCTTGCCTCCTTTATTATTTTATTTAAATTCAATCAGTTTAATAAAGCACTGTGTACTTTTTGTTATGATGCTATGGACAGTTTGCTTTTACCGACAGCAGTATTTACTTTATTGCTTCAGAGGCCTGATATGAGTTTGTTTCTTCAGCAGTGTTTATCTAACAGTTCTCAGATCACAGCAGAGAATCATTTTAAAATACTTTTGCTTTTTCCATAAATCCTAATCATCAGTAAGGACGCGTATCAGATCTCCAGACGCAGTGCAAACACTGCAGCTCTCTCCGCTTGGCTCATCCTGAACTACTCATCAAAAACATGGTGAAGCTGCTCAAATGTGGAACAAATTACCAAAGGAGCTCAGGCTGGTGCCGACTACTTTTAAAATAGTTTTACATTCAAAATATAGACCTGCACATTTACCAGCGATTTCAATAAAACGTACTGTATCCAGATTTCTTACAGCAGATTCCCCTCCTGACGCAAACCCCAAAGAGATTTGGCAAATGTGTAAACTGCTACACAATAAAGAGAACTAAAAGTATGGAAGGTTTTGGAAAGTATGAGTAGCTTGTTGAGTGTTACTAACGTCATGAGTGTGCAGCTTCCCCTCACTGCCCCCTCACCTGTGATATCTACTTTCAAAGAATGAAGATGACCACCCTGAAAAAGTCGATGGTTCAAAACAGGACCTCGCAACACAGTGGCTGTGTCCATCCTTTGTATACAGTCTCTGCATGACTTTTCAGAGACACTTTTTAAGTCTTTGCACCACAAATATTACACCTTCAGCCTTTTGTTTCGAATTTATATGCAGTAAACTCTGAGCTTTGACCCACGTCACTCCTAAACTCTTCCTTCTCACCTCCTTCTGATAAGTTCTGCGGAGATCCGTCAGCTCTTCTGTCAGCATCCTGTTAGTTTCTTCTAGCCTTTCCAGCTCCACTGTCTTACTGTTGATGACAATTAGAAAAATGTCTTATTTACCTGTGTCAGCACATTAAACTCTGCTTGTAGCCAGTTTAATTTTAGTATCTTTATTTGATCTTTCATCAATGTAAAGTTTACTGTAAGATAAACACTCATACTTAAAATTTACATTACTAAAGTAACTAAAATACTCACTCTTATCGTAGTGTGCTTAGATGTATTTTGTTTTTTCACACTCCATTTATTCATTTCTTTGTAGCCATCAGATAAGGAAACATGTTGGTCTTGATAAAAGTTTTAGGGTAAATATTTTGCTCTCTGCGAACGCCCAAATTTCTTTCATCTGCATTTCTGGAGTCATAATGTGATAACAAACTCTGACACTAAGCCGACACTCTGCAGGGATTTAACGTCAGCAGACTGAAGCTCGCCGCTGCTCGGAGGACTTTTCAGCTGATTTAAAGTCGCGGGTCCAGACTCGATGTTTTTGTTCAGCCTTGAAACAACAGTCTGAGACAATTTTCTTCTCTGTGCCGGGCAGCCCGTGACAGCTTTACTTGGCTTCAGTTTCCACAAGATGGTAATCAAAAGTCAACCGTTTTAATGTTTTTTCTTTTTCTGTCTGCAGCCTTATCTGGGTTAATGTTCATTGTGTATGTTTTAATGTCGATAAGGTTTTAATCAAGTCATTAACAATTCAGCAATACAGAGGACAGGCGGCTATTTTAGTTTCTCCAGAGCTATGCAATTTTTAAAAAATGGAAACTGTACACAGAAAGGTCCCAGACAGGGTTTAAAACTCTTCTTGCTGTGAGGTGACAGTGCTAACCACTGTACCACTGTGCCACCCACAGTAATTAGTGGATTAGTCCATTTTTTTTGTGTAGAATACGAAGTAAGAACACAGCATTATAATGACGGCTTTAAAGCCCAGAGTAGAGGTCCTGAGCCTCTTACATCTAAAGTCAAATGTTAGTATGTTAAAAATGGCAAAAATGACTCCAGACAACCACAAAAAGAAAATAAAGTTAAAAAGTAATCCAAGATTTCTATTAAAAATAACAACAAAGAGTTTTGAAACAATTACAAAGAGCAACAAAATGACCACAAAGAGACACAAAACGTATAAATTGTTTCAGAACTAGCTGGTGTCAGTTACAGAGAGATGCAAAACTACCACAGGAGATGCAAAATGGCCACAAAGAGATTTAAAAGTTAATACAAAGATACCTTAATATAATATAAAAATGGCACAAAGAAAATGTAACAACGTGAAAAAGACGCAAAACTACTGTCTTCATCAAACATAAGGAGGTGCTTTCATGTCTCCGAACCCCTCCACTGTCTAAATGTGCGTCTGTTTTGGAGCATGTCAGAGTATTAACTTAAAGTTAAAAAAATGTATTCCTATATTACATGAACTCATTGTGTGTTTTGCGGCTTACCTCTGCAAGTTTTTCTAAGTAAACGTAAACCAAATTGTGCTGTGTAAAGTAAAGAAAGAAAACATGATTCCGTGTTTTGTCATACTGGAGAGACTGAAGATTTACCTGCGCAGCTCTGCGTGGAGGCTCTCAGTGAGTGTAGCTCTGTGCTGGGCCTCAGCGTACAGCTCTGTCTGGAGATTTTCTGCCACCTCAGTTCTGTGTTGGGCCTCAGCCTGCAGCTCCTCCACCAGGCTCTCCAGCTTCACCTCAGAGCTCTGCAGGCAAAGCAGCTCTGCGCCGACCTGCCGCAGTAGCTCTGCATCCCGGGAGCTCGCCTCCACTAGCAGGACCACGCGCTGCCGAAGCAAGTTCACCAGGTCCTGCGGGGAAGATACGGACATACTGAGAATACTGCAGATGTGCTCACGTGAACACTTCAGCACTTCCTATCCTTTTCAAATCTCACTGGAGACATGCTATGCTCCAATACAGTCTGCATAAGTGATATCAGACACACCTTTAGGTCAAAGAGTTTGGGACAAGCCTAAACCTGATACTGTCTTTGAGGGGAAAGTGAAGGAGTCAAGCTCTCCAAAACTGTAATAAATACCACTGATGTCTCTAAGAGGCCTGATAATTTGTTACTGTGCAACCTTAAAGTAGGACACAGGATAAATGCTGAGCTGTGCCCTGCTGAAAAATGACTTGTGTCTCTAAAAGCATGAAAAATAATCCTTCTGACCACTTTGATAAGCTGCTGAAACAACTTTAACCTAATTTTAGAAGTTCCAGGGAAATTAATATGACAAGAAAGCTGTTTTGATGCTCATTAGATTTCTTTAGTTCAGTGAAATGTCTCTGTGGTTCAAAACTCTTACTTCTTGTAGCTCATACTTATGCAGTTTGTAAGTAACCAATGCCAAAACATCAGCATTTTCAATGTGCAAACACATTTACTGTAAACTTAATTCCACTGTAACTAACAGACAGCAAAGATGAGCTGATTTGTTGATGTCAGAGGTACAGATTATGTGGATAAATGGAAAGTTTCCTATTCATTTCATAAGCTGTATTTATCCACTACTTCTTAAGAATATTTAAACTAGTTTAAGTCTAGTTTAAATGATTTAAACTAGACTTAAACTAGAAGCAATATATTTAAAAGAGAGAGATTTCTGTACAGAAACCAACCAATAAGAAAATCTATAGATATACACAGATGTCACTCAGCAGCAACACTCAGTGGCAGTTTAAATTTCAACCAAGTAACAAATACAATCCAACAAATACTTACATCCTGCAAAATGTAATTTATTTCCACTTCTACTGTAAAATGAGTAGCGTATGAATGAGCAAGAACTATTGGGAAGTGGCAGTGATTACAGATTCAACTAAAAGTGAATACCTCAGAGCTTTGTGCAAGTAAGATGTGAAGGTAAAACTTTACGGTGTATTTATTAGTAAATTATTAGCAACTTACTCTATTTGATCTATGTTGAATATATAAATGTAACATTTATAGCAGACAGCCTTGTTCTGTCTACATGTAAAAGATAAGTCATAATCGGTCCACCTGCTGCTGCTGGATCCTGCTGATGAGTTGGGTCTGGTTCATCCTGAGGTCCATATTGAGCTGGTCTTGCTTGAGGAGTTGGGCGGTCACAGCTTCCAGATCATTCTGCAGCCTTCTCTCCCTCTCTCGGGACACCAGAAACTCTCTGTCCAACACCGCTGAGGCCACAAAACCAAGAAGAGTTAGTTAAACTGAGCACATTAGATGTAACTGTGTGGCTGACTTTACTTAAATACTTAATGTTAAACAGTCAATTTTGTACTGCAGACATTTATCACTCCAAAGACATTAATCACTGATGGTTTCATTTCATTAACTGATTAGTGCGGGAAAAAAATAAAAAACAAAAAAGTAAGTTAACTAAAAAATAAATCATATTTTAAAAATAAAATATGAACAGTGTATCAGAACTTCTCTGTAGTTTGTATAACAGTTGCCAGTATGTCTATTATAATACTTAATGCACTTAATGTAATAAATAAATTCTGCTTAAAAACTGATACATCAGTTTTACCGAGCAGAAAATCTACTGCATAGACTACTTTTGATACTTAAAAATACCGATTCCGTCAGTTATACTTAATTAGCTCAGTTATTTAAAAGTTCTATATTTAAACCATTAAGTAAGTAAACTCTGAATTGTTGTAGTTTTATTGATGTAGCTGCTCAATAATTGTTTTTGCTGCAACAAATTATTTTTTATTCAGGATTAACATTTTCTTAAAGAATAAATGAATATAAATAAATAAAATTTAAAAACAAAGTTAAGATGTGAACTTTAACCACTGATTGTTTTAGTTTTGCTTGTACTTATTTTTGTGTGTGATATGTTTAATTAAGGAGTAAAAAGTTGTAATGTAGCACAATTTTGTAGAGTATAATACTTACATTCTGATTTTTTTCTATAGTATATTTTTCTATAATACAGTACTTGAGTAAATATACTTAGTTACATTGTTAAGTTTTTATGTCAGTACAGCTCTAAATCCTTATGATACCAAAACAATAAACACACAACCAGAAAGGCTCTCAAGTACTAACATCAGTACTAATGTAGGATTTAGCCTGTTACAATATTTTTTAATTTTATAACATGGAATAAAATTTTAATTAAACATGGAATTTAATTGAATTAAAAAAGTAGATAACACCACTGTCACCACTCGCTACTCTTACATCTTATTACAGAGGTAAATGTGCATTGTAACTCAGTATGGGCTTTAAGTAGATCAACACTGACCCAGATTGCAATAAAAACAGATAATACAAACTGTAATTATATTACATGTTAAAAAAAACTACCAGAAATTTCTGTAAATAAACTTTGCTCTAGTCAGATACCCTGTAACTGTGACTGCATTGACTTGGAAACTGTTGCACAATGACTATAAAGTTGATTCTGTTAAAGTGTAATCTGCTGCAGGAAACATGCACTTTGTTTTCTGTTTATTAAGAACACCGGGCTCAAACTAATGCAGCGACCCTGCAATAAAGCCTGTTTTCATTAAAGATCAGTGTTTTAGTTCGTCACATTTTACTTGACAGCGTAAAGATGAAAGTATTTCTTTTCACGCAAAACATGTGTGGTTCTTCTAACAAATCTGTGACCTTCGATTGAATTTGATGTTTATTTGGCAAGCGTGTTTTTCCATTCAGGAAATTTGACCCTGGGTCAAGTGGATTCCAATGCACACACACAATGCAACAGCACATAAAGAGATATTTACATATAAATAGATGAAACAGCAGGTCAGACTGTTCCTATACATGGAATGCAGAATGTATTAATATGCATTCAGCATATGCTCTTTATCATAGTGTAAAATAAAATTAATACATTTTATAAACTGAGCTAAATTAAGTTTAGAAATTAAGCTAAACTGAAGCTAATCAATTTATATTTTGAAACATGTTTGCCATGTTTCATGTAGTTTTTCTTTCTTTTTTTCCAAGACATTTTTCAAATTATTATTACTTTATTTTTCAGATTTATTAGTAAAGTCTAACTATGGACATTTGTGACGGGCATTTGTTTATTACCTTTACTATTTTTACAAACAAAGCAATCTTTAAAAACTCATGAATCTATAAGTAAGCAGCAGCACTTCCATTTTCAACAGTCACATAATTATACTAAGCAACTTTTTCTGTGCAGGACTTTGACTTGTAGCAAAGCATGATAATAAAGCCAGCAATACTTTGACTAAAGAAAAGGATGGGAGCACTTTCTGCAGTTCTGATGACATTTTAAATATTAATTTCCATCTTATTTAAACTGTTAGCTGTATAGACATTGTGTGGTGCTCATCTGATCTACTACTTGACTATAATCTGAACGCCTCAGTGGACTCAACATTATAACCTTCCTGAAGGGAGAAGAGGGTTTTTTTTCCCTTTGTAGTAAACTAGCAGTTTTCATGTAGATAAGAGATTAACAGTCAGCTGAACCCGTCTTGACCTTTGTGACTTACCTTTGTCATGAGCTAGGCGGGTGCACTTGGCCGTCAGATACTGGATCTGACTGAAGTCCTCGTCCCGGTGTGCTCGGAAAAACCGCCTCATGATCATCTGTGTCTCATCTGCTCCCTGAAAGACCTAAAACCGCCTTCCCATGATCCTCGGGGCAGGGCGGGTGTGTCCCACATGGTCTGAGAGGACATAGCGTGCACATTTCCCGCAATATTTAACCTTACCTGAAGGTCTTAAAGATGACTCCTACCTGGTGCACACCTACAAGGGGCAGGTTTCAGCATTAAAACAAGCTGCTGTTGTCACAACATGGAAGCGAGTGCTGCTGCGGTGTCTCTCTGTGGATTTTCTTGCCATCTGGCCTGCTACTTGAATAAAGAGGGAAAACTAAAGTTTGCATCATGCACAAAGTAAAAGGCTGATCTTATTTTATATGCAAATTGTGTTGTGAAGTTCTCCCCCGAGGCAGTGGCTGAGCTGAAGAGGTTGGGCATGTTGTATCTAGCAGACAGGAGTCTTTATGGCAGCAGCCTCAGGTTAGTGCTTTATTATATATGACTGCATAAGAGGTTTAATAAAGGAAAATCCCATGAATGTGCATTAAAATCTAGAACTTTATCAAATGTATTCTGTTAAAGTGTCTATGTGTTGGTTTAGGTTTGATATATTGCCATGGAGATGAGCTCACTATGTTTTCAGTATTTTGTTGCTAGCAAGTAAAAAAATCCAGAGGACTGTGCAGCCTTGGTGAAGGTGAGCGTGTTCAGGTCACTGACTGTTATTTACTTTACAAACAACATGGAAAAGCCTTCTCTGTAAGTGATACACAGCTTTTCCATTTATTTTAGGTCATGTACAGGAAGTCTTGAACTTTTTAGGACAAATTTACCTTCAGCGGTGTGAGGCCACGGCGCATTGGTGCTCATAAAGGAGACGCTTTGTCTTTATTTTCCTAAATCCTTTCTCCTGCTTTATATAATAGAGCTGGACACCTCGAGAGGGGACTGTGGTTCGCTCTCGAACCTGTGGTCCAGTTTTTCTGCCACCAGAGGGAGACACACTGCCTCTAAGAGCCACTCCCCTGTGTGTACAATCGAAGACATTTTTTGGATTAGGTTTACATTCATGGATATTTAAAATGAAGACAGCCGCAAAGCTTGTTACAAGCCCAGCAAAGGAACACGAAAATAATAAATAATAAAATATTGAAATTATTTTAAAAAACATAATCAAAATAAGTTGATATTTTAATTAATTAACTGGTACTATTATTTATTTAGTTTGCTTTTTCTGGTGACAATCTGCACATTTTCCACCATAATGGAGAACCATGTCCCAAAGCAAATGTAGCAGATAGCTATGAGGCTCAGAGATCTCCATTTTGGATCTACAATCAGGCCTAAAAAGGCAGGAGAAGAACAAAGTGATCAATGTGGAGCACTGATAACCACGCATGGATCGCCATCAATCAGGATTTGATTATCTGAATGCATCTGAATAAAAAGTGAAAGTGAAACAAAAAGTTCTGCCACTATCAAAATTTGTGTTCATAACTGCAGAGCTAGAAAATTAACTGGGAGATTTTTTTTGATAAGTTATTAAAGCAAGCAGGAGATATTTACCAAACTTCTGAGGAGTGACACCTTTCTTCTTTTTATTATTTTACACAAGAGTGAACTGGATATTTGGGGGATTTTGTGCAGTAGGTTAGACAAAAATAAGACACTGGAAGACATCGGAGTCCGTGTTTCTGTGTCTTTAAAAAATAACTATGGAAATGTTAAGCATATCAGAATACTTTTCTTGCAACCTACAGAGGGTTTATGAGACGTTTTCAATGTTTTTTTTCCCCCTCACACTCATGAGCGTCTCTTAACAGCATCACTAACTCACTCAGTTATTCCCTCTGAAGACAAATCAGCATCTCTCCACCTGATACAGTTGTGCTAAGTGCATCTGTAGTCATTCAAATGAAGAAGACTTTCAAAAATGGCGTTTATTAAAAAAAAAGAAACCACCATGCTGACTTCCTCATCTTCAACATAACAATTGAGATAGAAAATGGCGTTGAACCTTGACACAAAGCATTCAGTCAAATAAATAAATACAACATCCTTCAAAGATCTGTGAGAGAAACCTAAGAATAATCCCACATCTTCACGCCAGACTGACAGTTCAGAATTAACGGCAGACTACAAAACAGAAAATCTGAGAACATTTAGAACACGTTTAGCTAAACGTGTCATACAGATGCGCACGTCCCAGAAACACCACGCAGAGTTACCCTGCTGGTCTGAACCACAGACAGGCTCACAGACTACATCGTGATACGCACAAATCATGTCAGTAGTACATTTTAAAGCATGTTTTTAACATAAAACAAAAATCTGCCGTCAATGTGTTGCTTTTAAAAATATTTGTATCTTTCGTAGGGCTGAACGAAGGCCGGAAATATGAGCTCTGTGATCACAAGTTCAAATTAACCCAGCAAAGGTCAGTCAGCCCATATATTTCAGCCAGAGGGTCACTCAAATGGTTCCTAATGATTTTCTTGGATGGTCTTTGACTAATGCAGGAAATACTGTAAGAGTCATACTCGAAGTCTGATTTGACAAAGCTCAAATACAGATCTAATTAATTGACCATTAAAGACTGGAACAAAGGGGTACACAGCTATAATACAGCTCTGCTAAAATACCTAAAGTTTACTTTTTAAATTGTAAGTAAAGGGAAATTAAACTAAAATACAAAATTACCAATATTTCTTAACAAAGAGTAGTTAGAGCTCAAAAACTAACTCTAAAATCACAAATAGCTTTAAACTTTAGTTGTATGGATTAAAACAAATTCAGTAAATTCTGATTAATGTTGAACTTTGGACTTGTTGACAGGCTTGGTTTTCTTTCAGAGCCCAGATGTCCTCCTGTGAAAGTTCTTATGATAAGCAATCAATCACGTCTAGCTTCATATGCAAGACATGTGAGCGAGTTCACCAAAATGCTAAACAATTCCTGTAGGACTGTTTCTGTTTTACTTGCTGGATGTGTGCTTCTAAAACCCTAAAAATACGATTTAAATATGGAAATTAAACTGATTGACGGCCAAAACGTGTGAAGATGTCCACTGGAAATTTGCATGGAAACAAAACATTGGATTCTTGTAATGGCTGGAGAAACTCAGAGATTTTCAAACAGTGCCATCTACAAAAAAACCAAAAAGAAAAAACCCAAAGAAAGCAACAAAACACACCTGAAGCTCCATTAGTCACTGCAGTTCTTTACAGGGTAGCATTTGCTTTACTCTTTGTTTAGTCACTACTAATGCAGTTTAAATGTAACAGCAGTCTGAGGCGCTGCACCTGACTGACTGCAGGCCCTGATTATCAAGAAGCTGCAGCAGATTACATAAACCAGCATGCAGACTTTTTTTACACGACCCAGTACTTTCAAACTTTAATCATACGGTGTGTTTTTTTGTTCTTTTTTTGTTTTGCTGGTGTGAGGAAATACAGTATGTGCCAGAGCTGGAATGCAGAGCAAAGTCACTGGATTCTTTCACTTTGAGGGAGTCGCGTTCAAAAGCTTAAAGGCTGTTAAATGACTGACTGGGCCTCAGTTATAAGTAGCCTGGCTCTTAGGGTAGCTTGGCCGAGTTTCCAACAAGGCTGCTGTCCTTGAGCTAATCCAATGCTAGCTGGCGGCTGCTACTGGCTTTGCATGCTTTCTTGACCTAACAGAAAAACGCTAACTCACACAAACTGGAATACGAGCCAATTGGATGCAGAAAAACCTGGTGAATAAGCAGCCCGCCATGTTTGCACCTGGGAAATCACTAAGTCAGTTTAATTTGATCTCTGGTGTGATAGAGAGGGAGTTTAAAATGAATCCTTGCACACTGCTCCTGAACACCACCTCCTCACTTTGTGTCATGAGAAAAATTTATATCACATTTACACATAATGGAGTTCACATGTTAGGTACTGTTGGTGGCAATAACAGCCTGCTGCTTTCACAAGAACACTCAAGCTTAGTGTTGTTCACATTTTACTGACTGAAAGCTGAGAAAAGCCTGCATTATATCAGCTGAACTGTTGACACTCAAATCCAGTAAGACCTGTATGAAACAGAGACGTGTCTGATGAAATTTTGGCTCATATTGTGCAGATTTTTCCTCAATTTCCAGCTGACTTACATTAATTTCACAAAGAAGAAGCTCCTTCCAGTGTTTTTAATTGCAAAAAGAAGGCCAGACATTACTGACCGTATCCTTTTGGTCATTCATTTTGAAATCTTTTTAACACATCTTCAAAGATACTACACTGTAAAAGTTGTTCACCAGCTTGTAATCCTTTAAATAAAAGTGGACACATACAAAAAGATGGAAAACAAAGACTCACAGCACAAAGTCAGAAAGAGTGAAACTTAAAAATGGGAAAAAATCCAACTGAAAGTCAGCATTTTCCATCTCACTTGTGTCAGTTCAGCATGATGTGAGTGGTAAAAAAAAAAAAAAAAAAAAGTATTGCACTGGTTTGATGTGAGTCTATGGATGGGCGGTCATCATATAAATAACAACAAGAACCAAGAACGGTAATACCATAACAGTAGTAGTAATAATAATAATAATAATAATAATAATAATAATAATAATTGTAACGCTAATAAAAACAGTTCAGACTAAGGTCCCCTCCAGCTGCCGTTTTACCACTGCTGCCAACTGAAGTCATCGTTGGATCCAAAGACCAGGAAGAAGCCCAGGATCGTCCCAAAGATGACTACGTTACCTGTTAGCACAAGCGCACATGCTCCCCAGGCAATCTGTAAAGTGATAAAGGAAATTCAGGTGAATGCTGAATGCTACAGAGCTTATTTGGGTAACTGAGACATTTTATTTTGCTGATTTAAAGACCTGCTTTTTGTAGAATTCAGCTCTAAATCATTAACATGCAAAGTACTTTTTCAGAGTTGGACAAAAAGGAACTGACAGTTAAAGTTAGACAATCGTTCACACACCCTTGTTGCACTTTTTTCCACCTTTTACGAAACAAGGCGGTGACTCGTTGACAAGCAGTATTTAGCAGTTGCTAAATTGTCCTATCAGTTGGTGCAGTAATAATAATAATAATAATAATAATAATAATGGATTGCATTTATATAGCGCTTTCAGGGCCCTCAAAGCGCTATACAGTTCCACTATTCATTCACTCTCACATTCACACACTGGTGGAGGCAAGCTATGGTTGTAGCCACAGCTTCCCTGGGGCAGACTGACAGAAGTGAGGCTGCCATATCGCGCCATCGGCCCCTCTGGCCATCACCAGTAGGCGGTAGGTGAAGTGTCTTGCCCAAGGACACAACGTCGGGGCTCGAACCAGCAACCTTCCAGTTACAAGACGAACTGCCAACTCTTAGAGCCACGATCGCCCCTTAACATTAACTAAGAAATCATATTTAAAAATCAGATTAAAGACTATATATGCTGTTGTGCACCCTGATCATTTCATAGCATACGTTACTGTTCTTTTAATTAATTCAACTGATTATGTTATTTAGGCCCCTTTGCTGGCTGCTTTCAGCCAGTTTAAAACCAAAATAACCCAAAATTGGTTATATTCTTTTTTTCTTTCTTTGCAACAAGCTGTGTCATGAATGCTTTAAAGCAAACTGCATATAATATAGTCTACTATCTTTTTTTTGGATGGCTGGAGAAACTACAGAGACTGCTAAGGACCAGAAAGTCAAATCAGACTTCCTCAAACTAATGACTGAGCTCCAGCACTCTACCTAAAATGTCCTAAGAAATGATGTGCTTGCATGCATGTCGCTCATAGAGAAATGCAGAACCTCTGCATTTATCTGCACAACTGATAATCATTTGAAACACTGGATGCTGTTTACAGCACCTTTGCAGTCATTTATCACTTGCTGGTGGTGAATATAATCTGTTTATAATTGGCCCTGCTGGCTGACCACACAATGAAACTGTCACTTTCATTGGGCGTAAATACTGAAAGATACAGGAAGTCTATGACCTCACAACACTATACTTGCAGTTATCTGTCAGAGTTTAGCTCTTTATTGTTTTACACTTAGATTTTTGATTAACTGAGCTCTTCTGCTTTC